GAGCAGGGATGTAGCTGTAGGATAAGCAATCAGTGTGAAATTCAAGCTACACAGATCAGGAAACAGAGGGAGCCTCACTGTATTTGCTGCTGGCTTTGGGGAAAGCAGGACTTTCCATGCAACTTGTGGGGTGCTTGCTTGCTCTGTGCTCCAGCACCCTGTTTAAATGGCAGCTTGGGCTCCCAGAGCAGAAAACACCCCTCAAAGTGCTCAYGTGCTTGAAGAGCAGCAAGAGCAATGGAGCCAGACAGCAAGCAGACACAAGGATTTACCTGAGGAWGTATCCTCAGTTGAATCATGCCCGTCTCATTGAGAAAAAACACACTCTTTTGAGAGAATTACAGACAGAGCCTTTCCAAATCTGTTTTTCTTCTTTGTGGATTCCTCTGGTGAAGGAAAACAGTTCCCAAAGTGACTTTTCCAATGAATKAATTAATATTAAAAGCAACTCAGAGCACGGTAGCCAAGAGTGGCTTGTCCTCATTGAAGGGAAGGCTGACTTTATGAGAGATATTAAAGTAGCTAAAGTCTCATGCTATCAGTATTGTGTAAGAGACATTGTCCTGCAATGTTTTTTAGGTTTTCTATAAGTTTTCTAGTTTTCTAGAGGTAAGAGCATCCAAATGTTTTTTTTCTTCTGAATTCATTCTGACAAACCTATCCATGGTCACATACCTTACCAGCCTTCAGTGCACGGCACATCACCTACTGTAACACTTACGATTATGGTAGTGATCAGGCCTAACAGGCATATTTATAACATGAGAATCAGAGTAATTCTCTAGGTTCAAGCACAATGACTTCCAACATGTGAGGTAAATGCTAACACAACGTTATCAGAAAGGAGAGGCATGTTGGATCTGTGCCACTCAAATTCCTATCGTTATCTTAGCAAATTCATTCTTCAGGCACTGTTCGTATTTCTATTGTGTTGGAGAGATTCTCTTCTTTAGTTYGAGGATTTGCCCTTAATAGAGGGAGGGAAATGTTGCCATTGTGGTGAAAAAGAGAAACATTCTTTTTGAAATATTAAGCATTAAGCAGATTAGGTACAGGCAAGGCATACTGCAGAACGACATGTTCTTTGACCATGAACCCATGACCCTCCAGAAAATTTAAGAGTTAAAAAACATATTGCTTTGACAATCTTTTCATTTAAAAAAAATCTTGTAAAAAGATCAAGGAATTCAGCCGTTGTTATTTACACAAAATTCAACCTTTCCTGCTTAAAAACACAAATCACTTAATGYCACATCTGCGGGGTTGCTAAGGCAGATGCCATTAATCTGAGTCATTTTGCAAATTCCAATTTCATTTGGATTAAAATCTACAACTAAGTCGGTCAAAACTATATGCTGTACATGCATTAAGGCGGGTGACTACTGAAGTCTGTTGGGTAGCTAAACTAAGYGCAGATTAGCCAGGTCTAAGTATATGTCCTCATCTAGAAAAAGAAGATCTCCTGACATTTCAGTGATGTAGATTTGAATCAATAGCTATGAAAAATGGTTGAACATTTGTACTACAAAAGAGATACTATGGCACAGTCCCAAAGGTGCATTTCTTATAAATTAATTAGCTGCACAAATTATTTTGATAACAGTTACTGCACTTCCGCGGTGATATGGCTGCTCAGTGATGAGTACTTGATGATCAATGGTAGGCACTAGTAATATCTTTCATGCTGAGTGACTTTTATTACTATTTAGATTTACACTATATACATGCGTGCTTGTATCTACACTTAGGGCCTGATCTTCCTTAACCTCCTTCCCTAAAGTCTTGTGGTCTTTTTAGTGTCTTCCTYAAGAATGCTATGATATTTGGATATAAGAAATAGGCACGCAAGGGACCGGGCTTTCCTTCCATGTGATGGGAGGACCACACTTAGTTTTTAGCAGTACCTGAACCTATGCTTTGCTCTCATCTGCCATCCATGCCACCATGAAATGCTATGGAGGGCCAACATGGTCTGTATGATGTTGCTTAGACCACTCTGCCTGGTTGCATCCACCTGCACCACGTGGTTCCTTTGGGTGCATCCCAAAAGGGATGACTGACTGATTCAGAAGCCCCTGTTTGTTTGTAAACGAATGTCTCCCTCCAGGCATAATCCTGCTGGATTGGTACAGAATGACTTCTTCTTTCTGCCAAAACCTGCAGGTTGCTGTGGTGTAAARAAGTCTACACGTTCCTGAACTTTAACAACAGATTAAAACAAACGAGCTTCGTTCATGGGACCCCAAATAAGAATACATGTCTTATGCTTAAGAGTCTAAGTCTCTGCTGGTCTCACCTAAAAGGCAGAGAGGCCTTTAAACTCCTGCTGAAATAACTAGGGACTATTTAGGTTCTTAAAGTGAAGCATTTGCCTTAATTGGCCAGGCCTGCACTCTTCCAGATCAGGCCCTAAGAAAATGGAAGGGAAGGACCGACTGGTGGTTACCAATTCAGCTCCTATGATTCAAGCAGCAGCAACCCTATACAGTAAATAGTCTGTATTGTGAAAAATCTCACCAAAATAGTCCAGCTGTAAGAAGCCCTATAGACAGAAGGTCGAAAGCCCTAATCCATTTAGATGTCTAGTTGGTTTAAACGGCTGCTACTTCATCCTGTTACACCACCAGAGATTAAGGCTCAGAGTGCTTATCAGGTACTAAATATAAAAGATGCCAACACAAAAAAAATGAAAAAAAAGCATTGCTTTTCCATGGAAATTAATGGGTCTTCTAGGTGGAATGCTTCAATATAAGTACAATTTCTACAAGAAAAGGACAATCATCTACATAAGATCCTAAGTACTTGGAAACACATGACAACAGGACCACACTAGTTCTTGCATTTCTTTGAAGTGGCTTGACATATGACATCCATACAGAGGGTTCATTAAGATTAAGACAAATATCTTAATCTTACTAAAATAAACATGCTTCAAAGTTCCATACCTGAAACTCAAAATGCCAAGTGTGCAATAAAACTAACTCCATTTAAGGCAGTGACATATATCCAAATTTCCTCAACATTAAAGAGCACTAAGGACTCCCAAAATGTATCTGAAGACAAACATCATAGGCACCATTGAGGAAAACAAGCTCATCTAGATCTCCCTTTCCTGAACTGAGCAGAAATCCCACAGTACTGAAGCTGCTCGCAGAACCCATTGCTTATGGTGGCTCACAGCATCCACTCTGGTGGATCCATAGCTGACTTCCACAGCTGGAAACCAGGCAAGTGATAAACAGAAAGGCACCGACTGCATTTTCCACTGGTCCTTGTGACAAACTAAGTCATGGTCCCRCTGGGGCAGGGAGCAGCTGGGGCTAAGAGTGACTGGAGGAGCTGGGGGATGTTGAGTCATCCAAAGGTAGGTCCATGTTCACTCTGAAGGCCAGCCTGACCACTACTCACACTGTAGCACAAAAGCAAGTGCTAAGAGGTTAGTGGAGCCCAACCTCAGGAGCTCTCTCTGGAGGAGAAGGGATGTGAGCAGCACTCAGCACATAAGGAAGACCCATGATGGTCTGGGGCTGAGCATTCTCCACTGGCTACACAGCTTCAAAGGGCACAATCTGACCAGTAACTGGAATTGTAATAAGCAAGCTAGACAAAAAATGCAGCTGGATGGAGCTCAGTATGCTCACAAACCTATTCTTTACCACTGGGAAAATATAGCTTGCATTACCAAAGACGTTTTCATGAGGAAACATGCCACATCATTTGGCATATATTTTTTAATGCAGCTCCTCAGATTGGGGGAGAAAAAGAAAAAGGCAGCAGGGAGCAGCCAATCAACCATCAGTATTTCTATTTGTATCTTCTATTGAAAGACTTTTTTTGTACTCACATTTCCTTAATATATATGTAAATTTGATTAGAAAATGACAACGAAAGGGTCCAGTCAGTGGTGCTGACAAGAAGAGTCTGTTGAAGTGACCAGAGGTGCTGAACTGAGTAATGGCTGCAAATCTGAGTGCAAAGGAGGCAACAAAATTATAATTCCAATACAGAAGAGGAAACCTAGATGCATCCAACCCACTGAAAATGAAAAGAAAATGCAAAAAAAAAAAAAAAAAAAAAAAAAGAAAAGAGCATTACTAAATGCAAAACATAGCTGATAGAAACTGGCCTTGACCTCAGCTGGCCCAAATTAAACCGCAATTATTGCAGGATTAATTCCCCTGGCACACAAAACCAGCTTGTCAACAGGAACCGAAAACATCCTGTAAATCAAGAAACATTAAAGCCTAGCTGAGGATTATGCATGAAGAGTGAGAGGATTACGATAGGAAACAGTTCTTAGCCTGGTGAGCAGCAAACTCGCCTTCCCAGATAAAGGAAATTGCATGTAATGCTCCCACACAGTCTAGAAGAAAATGCAGTGAGCTTCTGCTGGTACAGAAAAAAAGGTACAAAAATCAAGACCTGTAAGATGAAGCCTTCCCATGCAGAGCCAACAAATGTTATAGATATTTCTCTGTGTGTATGTAGCAGAAATTAACACATTTTCTTTACTAAGTGGATTGCAGTTGGATTTTTTTTTCATTTATCTGTTTTCTGTCAGTAAGAAAATGCAATTTTCTAGTCTATTTTAAATTCTTGCTATTAGCATATCTGTTTTTCAGGCTTTTTGCTTGCACCTGTAGATCATATACCGTTGGTGAGGAGCTGAACAAGAGATAAGCTTATTTAAAAAGATGGGAGATAAAGCAATGCATGCAATCTGTTGAAAGTTATTGCACATGAAGKAATGTCTTCTTTCTCCATATCAATGCAGTCTACACAACTCCTCTGTGTGACCCAGTGGGGAAGTAACAGCAAGATGGAACATCAATCCTGAAACTTCTATGGCATGCCTGTGCTCTCTGGAAAAGTTCTCTGTGGCCGTGATTTGCCCCCAATCATCCCTGTTCAGGAAAGCCCTTGTGTGTGTGCTTAAGCTCCACTGAAGTCAACGGGATTTCAATACCAGCTTAAATTTAAGAGCCTATTGAGAGCTCTCCTGAATAGGGATTTGTGCTTATTGCACTTGGTTCAATCAACCCATGAGATTTTGGGCTCTCAGTTTTTCAGCACGAGAGGAGAAATAGTATACTTGTGTATTAAGATCAGTTCTTCCTAGCATTTCTAGTGTATGAAAATGTTTGGAGAGTGGTAGGCAACAATTCATTCTGAAGAGACGTCATTGTATATTGTACATACGCACACAGACATGTCTACGCTCAGAAAAAATTGCTTCAACGTGGACGAAATATTCACCTGTGTTTGGATCAATGCTGTGGCTGACTATTTCTGTAGCACAGTGTCCAGAATAACTGAATTATCCATGAACGTACACAGTCCTCRCGAATGGCACACAGTCATTAGGACAAGTGAGCGCTGTTCCGCACCCAGTGCAGTCCTTGTTGAGTGTACTGAACTAAATGCTCCATACTGCTGTGCAAGGTGACAGGCCCCATCAATGCATCCAAGTCATTAAAAAAATCTAGGAGGAAAAAAAAAAATAGGCAGCATTATTCAGCATTAGAACAGCAAAGTTATATTTTCTGTTTGTCACCCTTTAGGAGATTTTGTTCTCCTGCAAATTGAGTCAAGCTGAACATCTCATGAGAATGGAAATTTAGTGCTGGTGAGATTCATTTTAGAGCACTGTGGTTCATCATGTTACAAGCAGTTTTCATTTTAAAGAACAAAACAGTGTGTTCTTTTGCTCTGCATTTCTGTTAAACCTTGATACAGCAAACAAGCGCTGGGCAGGACTTATTTTGAGATTGAGGACAACTRCATCCAAGAGATTACATACAAGTGTCTCTCTACATGCATGCTAGATACCACGACAGTCAAAGAGCCCTGTACAACAGGGTCACCCCAGACTAAAACATAATTCACCTAATGAACCACTAGGGGTTTGTCTTAAGAGGGAATGGGGGCACCTCGTTCCCTTCTGTGTCTACCTGTGTCTGGGTGTGGGAGGGTGGATGAGAGGTGTCCATTCCTTATGTAAAATGGAAAGAAGCTCCTTCCTGACGTGGCCCAACTGAATGCACCCACCATCCATCTCTGTGGCTTTGGGGGGGGCAGGAAGCTGCCTTGTCACCCCAAAATTTCTTCTCCAGAGTGACCCAAATGGCAGTGAGTACTGCCTATAGCCACGCCAGCAACTGTGCTGGCATGTCCTTCCAGTTGCAGTCCTGCAGTCCTTCCTTGTGAACATTGTCCCTATCAAAATAGACCAGTGATTCGTGTGACCAAAACCAAATGTACGCTCCTTTACAACAGCCCWGAGTGTGGACTATCCCTCACCTCTGTTCTCCTTGGCCAGGTTGTCAGCCATCTCCCAGTAGTCGTAGCTGTGCAGGATGCTGTTGGTGATGCTGACGTGGTTGGCGGCCATCTGGTGAATGCGCTGCGGGATGCTGATTATAGGAGATGGTGAAGGGGCCCCCGTGCTCCCCTGAGACCCGACAGAGCTCACGGGAGAAGGGCTGGGAGACATGGGTGATGGCGTTCCTGTGCTCCTGAAATCGGATATCAGCACAGGATGGTGGGATTAAATACTTGAGAGTATCAGAACACACTGTAGGTAAGAAAATATAATTTCTAGTAGCCAATCTGATAAAAGTTCCCGTGTGATATGTGAACTTACTTTCCACTGGCACCCCAAGGGGATGGGGTCTGGGCAGCTTTTGATGAATTCTGTAAAGGCAAAAATAATTCACAATGCATATGATGYATATAAGACCACAAAATAAACAACAGTAAACAGTATAAAAGCAAGGATAGGTAAATGAAAGATCGTGCAGACGGAAATATTTATATCTTAAGGTGCGATAAACCCCCTGGGGCCAGTTTGGATGTGATGAATCAGTGCTGCAGCACAGAGACAAATCACATTCTGTTAAACTCTTTGAGATTGAAACTGGTAGAAAAACATGTTAGTGAAAAGTGAGTGTTTACATGGAAAATCTAGGAGAGCAGAAGAAAATGCTGTCAGGAGTCTTTCCTAGATTTAGACTAGAATTTCTTCTAGATTTAGACTAGAATTTCTTCTAGATAAAGCTTCTTCCCACCCTGCCATCCCTGTATCCCCAAAGCTAGTAATTTCCCTGGCATCTGTGAAAGAGCTTGGTCCTCTTGGTCCTCCGAGTAAGACAGAAATTGTAGGGCCCAAAATCGCTCTTGCAGAGTAGAGCCATTAATCTACAGGAGTTGGGAATTTATTTATTCCTGGCCTGCAGAAAATGCCCTCCCCACTCCCAAATGCAATGACCAATTTCATCCTGGGCCCAAAGGACAAGAAACAGGCAAAAACCAGAAATCTAAGAAACAAGATTTTTCCAGTCCCTGCTCATGTTCAGCAAAGGCCGATCCCKGATTCTTCAGAGGAAAGAGGCCTCCTTGAAGGCTCCCCTGCAACAGTTCCTGTAGATAAGTGTGCGCTGGGGAGCAGCCCTCCTTTCCTGACAAGCACAGGAGACAAGTGCTGAGTCCTGTAGCTGGAGGCTTCTTTGCACTTGTTGGTGACACAAACGCGCCTGTTCTCCCATGGCTCATGMAAGGGAAATGACAACCGCGAGACTGGAGCGATTCCTGGATTTCGAGGCTGGAAGCAATCCCCGGGGAGCTCCCCCAGCAGTTTCCCTTTTCTAGCAATGATGCATGGAATTCTTACCAGAAGTGCAATGCATGTACTTTCGAAAATAAAGTACAGCTAGTCATATAGAAAGCCTAAGATGCTGCTAATCCTCCTTGTTCTCTTGGATCCTGTTCTCATGTTTAACAGCCCTCAAAGATAGGAAACACTCTGTTTCAGGATTTCAAAATTGAATTTTCGTAACTTCAATGCTAGCTTTTGGATTTTGTTGGTCTAGTGCCAGCAAAACTAAATGTCACCTGGCATTATTGACTCTGTTTCCATGTACGCAGTGATCATGTCCTCTGTTAACCTTTTCTCCAGTAAGCTGGACAAATCTTTGCAGCTGTCCTTCATAAAGCTTGTTGTCTCAGGTTTGCCATGGCCTCTGAACTCCCTCTTTGTCCCCACATCTCTCCTCACGTGCATACACTGAAACTGGTTATGATATTTTAGCACATTAGTGCCCTGACAGTAGTAGATAGACAGTGCCCATCATCTTTACAGTGTAACAGAATTGGGTCCATATAATTTACCTATGAAGTCAGAGGAAGGAAAATCTGAAAAGTGAAGTCAAGGATATTTCCCCTGTAAATGTAGCCAGCCTCTGCCTTCCTGAATGCAACTTCACAAATCTTTTGTTTTTTTCATCCTTTTAGGGATGTTACTCCAGCTCCTCTCGGTTCTCCTAAGGAAAAGGGGGATGCTGAAGAGAGTGTAATGATGTAGGGAGACATCTCTTATCCCACTCTGACTCCTGCTGCCCACCTGTTCTCCTGACTTCTTTACACTCTCAAATGTTTCTAGCTCCTGAATGTCCCCGGTTTCCTTTTAATTCTCTGCTGCACTGATTTTTTTATAATGGAAATAAAATGCTTAAAAGGAGATTTAAGTATTTTTTTCTCTTTCTTAAAAGAAAAGCGTATCTAATTTTCCATGAAAGTGTGTGCAACAAGGTTTAAAATCTCTCCTTGATTGATAGTTTATGTGGAAGTTCTTAATGCAGTCAGCATCTCACGTCACTTGGTTTTGAAAGCTTTTAGGTACCAAATATGAAATGAGTGGAGAATTGGCTTGTTTTCCACTGAAAATTATAGTAAATGGATTTTTTTCTTTCCACTTTTACTTTCAAAGGTGAGAATACTTTCTAATGTGAATCTACGCTATGATTATATCAGCAGGAGCTCTGCAAAAAACAAGCTCATCTTGCCTGTAGCAGAGTATAAGTCCATTTTATGTTTGCTGTGAAACAGTTTCTGTCTGCTAGTAGAAGACATTTTACATGGCCGAGAGCCTGACCATCCTGTTCTTAATGCAGATATTCTCTGAACTGGTAAAGAAAAATAAAGTGCTATAATAGGCACATATTTCTTCCCCCTGAAATCAAGTCATTGTTAGAGAAACATAACATGTTGAATTATATATTGCTAAATTTTTAGAAGCAATTACAGTGACTTCAATTTCAGTTTGACAATAACAGATCTGTCAATTTCCTTCTCTATCTTCATGTGTTTAAAATCTGGTCATGAGCATTTGTGCTTGTATTTGATTTTTTTTATTAGCAAAATGTCAAAGGATGGATGTTTTTCATTTCAAGGTACATCCCCCTGCAAAAAGACGAAAAAAAAAGAAGATGGGCCTTGCATCCAAAGACAAATGGCTATTCAGTGTCCACCAGGCTCCACCGACAAAAACCAGCTTGTCCTAGAGCACTCTCAGGGATGTTTTTAAGCTAGAAAGATGGATGCTAAGTTTTCTGTTTGTTGATCAAATGCTGGATGCACTTACTGTTTGGTGGGTCCCCCCAGAAAGGTTTTGCTCCTGAGATATTTTCCAGAGAAAGGWTGGCTCTCGAGTACAGTACATGAGAATACTTTGAATGACTTGATCTGGCAGAGAGGGGAGCGTGGCAGCAGAGGCAGAGAGGTGGGAAGGAGAAGGCAGCAGTGCTGTGTCAAGCACGGGGCAGGGGGCAAGGTTGTCCTCGGATGCTTTTGTGTGATGAAGCCAGTGTGGGCTGCCTGCAAGATCCTTAGGAAGGATTGTGCCCTGCTRCACTATCTTACCTGTCAATGCTGCTAAACGGAAGCCCTGCAGCTACCAACTCATCTGTGTCCAAGTCTTCGACTCACAGGAATATAGTGTTAAGTGTAGTCCTAAAAGAGATTCCTCGAGCAAAATCGGCAAAATCTATTCAGAACAAAGCTGGATAGTGCCAGATAACTGACTAAGAATAATGTGAATATGCCTACTTGGTGGAGCAAAAGCCCCTACTCTCTTATGGAGGAACACACCTTGTGTATTGCAGACAGGAAGCCTTGTGAATACAGCACGACTGAGCAGAAACTATGTAAGTGCTGCCATGGGAGACTGTAACAAAACTCCAGCCTAGACCAGGGAAGAACTGAGCCCACCATGGCACTGGCTTTTAAAGATGCTGTGTTTTCTATAATGATTTTAAAACACGCCATAGAGTAAGCACCTTGAAATACTCAATCAGAGCTTTTGAATACTTGACTGCATGGTCCCTCTTGAGCCGGAACATCCTCCAGTAGAGAAGAGCCAGGCAGCGGTAACTAGGACAAAAGGAGAACAGAAGATAAAGTGTGTCTCCTGCATAATAATTAAACAATCCTAATTAATTATCTTTAATTCTTAAACAAGCAGACAGCGGAAAACTGACAGCACCTTGCTTAYTATTCTTATCACCATTCCGTTTTCACACTTGGCCATGGGCTCAGGGGCATGGCTAGGGACTGCAGCCAGGGCAGGCCACATCACCATGGGTGCCATTAGTGAGGTGCTAAATAGCCTCTACACTAAGTAGGATTCACAGAGGTGGGTCCCTTTGGTTTGACAGGGTCAAATCAGTGCCTTGACCCTGATTTGAAGTCTGCCCATTTGACCACAGGCCTCCCTGCAAAGAGATCATTAACAGGAATCCAACAGATGTMGTTTTTTGTTTTTCCTTGTACACMCAAAGGCAAGTTTTTGACTACATTAACTGTGTGTCTACATCACTGTAGGCTGGAGCTGATGGGATAATAAACTAAAGTCATCCTGGGTCTATTCTGTGTGCACCCAGTGGTCTCTTCCAGTGGCTGGAGATGGCCAGGAAACAGGTAAACCTCAGAGTTACTCATTATTTCACTGTTCAAGMTCCTTTTTGGAGAAACCAGAGTGGAAACTCTGTAGGACTTGAGAGCGCATTCCTAGCCCATCTGCCTAATTTTTCTCTCACAGGAAATCACCGGAGAGCTRACAAACTCATCATATGGTAGTGGAACTGTCTCCCTTCTTGATCCTTGTTAGTCTGCAGAGTGTCAGACAACTTTATAATGCTATGAAAGCAAATTAGCAATGGTAGCAAATTAGCTGTACTTATACATAAGGGTAACTGATAATCAGCATTCTGGACACACAAACTCTTGTCTTTGCGATTGGATTTAGGTGCAGTGGTCAAGCCCAAGAATTAGCCCAGCCTCTTCCCAGTAAGGTTTTTGATCAGATGGGATAAGACTGCACCACAGGACGTAGTTCTTGAAACAAATCTGGTATGTTCTGCTCTTCATTTGGCAGCAGAGACCTTATTTTAAAAGTGATAATTAATCTTGCAACTCAATCTGAAGCACCAGAAGGCCGCCTGAATTTGGGAAGTGCAGACTAGCGCCCTTCTCCTGCTTCAGGGATCGCAAAGGGCCCCATGGGGCTGCCAAAAACTCACCAAAACACTCCAGAACTCACAAGTTGCTCCTGAAAACCCCAGCCAAGCTCTCTGCAATTCACAGCCACTGCCTGTGGAACTGAAGCTATGAATTTCTGCCTTTGGCCGCTGGAGGACAGTGTCTCCTCAGGAGTGCGGAGCGAGGCGCGGAGCTGTGTGGCACAGTGCCCGGCTGGGGCTGGCAGCAGCCGGCGGGCACAGCGGCCCTGCAGCCCCGCAGCTCTCCCCGTGTCACCTTCACAGGTACCGTGCGTGTGCAGAGGGTGTCAGCTCATCTGCTGCGTGGCAGGCGGCGAGGTGGGATCGCTGCTCATGAAGGGATGAAGGAGAAGGCACCGGCTGCTGCTTTCCCTGGCGCTGACCTTTCTGCTTAAACAGAGGCGCTGGCTGCACGGGTYGGGATTCAGCTCCACACGCTGCGGCGCCCTGGCACCCCTGGAGAGCCCTTCCGAAGAAGGGCTTATTTCCTCTTAACCCATTTTCGGTTGTTTYCCCACCTAAGTGCTTTTGAAGCAATTGCCATTAATCTATTCTGCGCTCCTGATTGCGCAGCAGAACAGTGACAAAGAAAAGGCACTGGAAATAAAAAAGTAGATCGGTGTTTTGTTCTTTTTTATACAAATGATTAATTAGGACTCCTTATTTGTGGAGCCTAAAGATGCATATRATTTGGACTTTTAACAGATGGTTAATAGATGTTAAAAACACACTTGCTGATTGTAAATGTCCACTTGCTGAGAATCAGTAACCATGTAATAGGTACTTTATGTATTAACGGCATAGATATTAAATTAAAATCTGATTTTAATAACATTTTAGTATTTTATTAGCAATCGCCAGCCACCTTCTACTATCTAAGCTTCATGCATACAGCTAGAAATCTCAATTTAGAAGGTAATCCAAGAAGCTTAATTATCACCATCACCGTATCTCCCTTCACGTAATGTAAACATAATTTATGATTACTGAGCCTAAAATGTCGGCTGCAAAAAATAAACTTACTGAGCTATTGGTACAAAAGCACATCACTCATGAAAACAACAAACCATCGGGCACTTAAGAATTAATTGTGCTGACGTACCATGGCTGACCTGTCACAGGCAATAGGTATGAATTGCTTATTTACTGAGATAGATGCAGATCGGGTGCAGTTATACAGGGGCCAGAGCTTCCTTGTGCAGCAAGAATTCTCTTTATGGCAGCAGCAACACAGTCCTACCTGACTGCACCCAACATCTGGTTTTAAAGAACTGGTTTGCTGCAGAAAAGGAGCCTTTTGAGGAAATCTTGGTCTACTAACCATAATGCTGCCAGCTGTTTGTCTTCTGCTGTGGCGTTGGGGCCCGAGTGGGTTTTTAGCCTCACTGCGTACCTTAAGCAAAAGAGAGAAAAGGTCAGGGTGGGTGAACTGAGGCAGCTTTATGTTACTGGTGAGCTCCTCACCGAGCGATGCTGACTGCTGTCATTTGAAGATCTGCCCCGTTACGCTCATTTCCTCAAGCTACGGCACGCAGGCTGTGTTTTCCAGGTCGTGTTTCGGAGCCATTTTGTCAGCAGCGATGCCTCCTTGTGCCTCCTAAACAGCAGTAACTCTCCCGCCCGTCCCTGGGTGCAGAGGAAAGCCTGGCTGACAAGGCTCTGCTCCCTGGCTCCTGGTGCTGTCCTGYCAAAATGACCTCCACTGCTGTGGAGACCCAGTCACGGCGAGTTCACGACTGCACGGGGTTTGGAGGCAGACAAACGTGCCTCCAAGCTGGTGCTGCCCTCACCCTGCCAAYGCTGAACGTGTCTGCTCAGATCTGCTCCTCCAGGCAGAGCACAGCGGAGGGGGAGCGGGTGGCTCACAGCTATTTTTGTTCGTGTGACACATTCAAATTCTATAAATATTAAACACGCACAGAGGTAGCACTGCTGGTTCAAGAATGTATGTGCTGTGCAATCACAAATTAGTTGCTGGAAATCGCAGCTTCTAGCTGAATACCTGCACAATGGACAAGGTTAGGACAGCATGCAAGGCTTCTGGGCTCGCTTCCAGGAAAACACCCAGTTCTCCATAATTAGCTGAATTGTATTTTGCCTTATCTTTGTTTTCAAACTTTAATCCTGGTACCTGCAGGAGGATTCAGTGTGAATATTTGGTTTCAACAGGCATGCCTGGTAAACCGTTTGTTTTTGGAGGTGCAGTGAGCGAGATCAACCGCAGTTCACACTGCAACACAAACACAGCTGCACACATTGTTTAAAGCTATAGGGGTCTGCAAGCGAAATTCATTTCCAGAGTTAGGACCATAAATTTATGATCATGAAAAATATCAAGGCAGAAACGCACACACAAAAAAGCTCTGCCTGTGATGGTATAAGAAAAAAAGAAGGGAAGAGACGTAGAAATGTGATGCACTATTCTCTTACAGAGTAAATACTTCATTTTGTTTAATAACCTTTCAGTTAGCAAGCTGGCCTCAATGCATTAATTAACTGATTTAACTAATTAATTAACTAATGCACTGAAATGCATTAGAGGACAGCCTGAAGTGGAAGAAAATGCCAATGGAATTGTGTATATACATGAGAAAATCAGCACATCAACACTAAGTCCAAAAGAAATCGATTACTTTAGGAGCTTTGCTTTTCCATGAATATGATTAAAAAATACAGCGTGTTACTTCCTGCAAACTTAGTGCCAAGGAGAGTGGCATGGTTGACTGTCCTAGGAACTAAACATGGTCACTGGCAGCCTTCTCCACTAGTGTGGGTGGATGGAGTCTCCTGGGGAGACAGTCACGCAGACTCTGGGCTGATTTTTGACCTTTTCTAATGACACTGTCAATAATGTTAACTCTTAGTACCAGCTCTTGAGAGGAAAGGACTTATGAGACAGAAGCTCATAGGGACAGAGGGTGGGATTGAATTCTAGACTGCATCATGCAGAGAGCCGTGCAGCTGACTAAACCTAGGGGCCCACTATGGTGTGAGATGGATTGTGCTCAAAGCCCATTGACTACAGCAGCAACATGGGCACCTAGTGGATATTGAGTGTCCCTTTTTCTACCACTGTTCACATCTTCCTTCAGGAAACCATTAAACTGCAGTCACAAACGTAAGTTGTAACATTTTGCAAATCACCACACCATGTGAGTGTTTTGTTGTTATGAAGCCATTTGCCCACCTTTTGAGGAGAGCAGGATTTATATCATCAAACTATCAAAGTAATTTGCAATTTAAGTAGTAAGAAAAGCTTTRTCTATTTTGTTCTATATGGTTTCCCAATTTAATTTCCTTAGCAATCACAAATAATACATATATGGTACATATGACTGGCCTAGCACCTGGGAGGACCTTCCTTCTCCCTCTTTACTGTAGCTAGGGAATTTATCATGATGTAGATGAGCGTATTTGAGCGAACAGGATAACTCCTGCTGTCATCTCCTTCCTTCTTACCTGATGAGTTCAACTGTTTCTGAATACATTGTATAAGGGGATTTAGATTCCATTGGACCTTGTTCCATTGCGTTTCCACATTCAATAAATGACAGTGCTGCTTCTGCATAATTCAGTGCCTTTCCAAACTTTTCCACCTAGAAGGACAAGTTATTAATTATTAATTATTAATTATTAAGATATGGTTATATGTAGTACAGTTTTCTTAACATGAATTGTAAAATTGATGCAAGGAGGTACGTCTTTGGGCTCACAAATTTTGCCATGAAAAAGCTAACACGCACCAACACTTGAGTATCAGTGAAATTCATAACATGCAGAAAGTAGAGCTGATAAAGATGGGATGCTGATAAACGCAGGATGTTAATTGGTCCATATTTTTGTGTCCAGAGAGGGATCAGCTCTGCTAGTATATTCCTGACAGATGTTTGTCATGCCTAATCTTAAACATTTCCACTGCTGGAGGCTCTGCTAAGTCCTCAGGCCTCCTCTTCCAGCTTTCAAGCATTCTCACCACTACAGATTTTCACAGTTGTTCACAGGTTTCTATCACTGAACAAAGAAAGGTAACAATCTTGAACTAAGAGAACCAGAGTTAAATGCTTTGACTATTAACTCCCTATTATGCAAAGGCTCATCTCTGTTCTTGTATCTTTTTTCTCTCTTCTGTCATCAGCACTGCTTGACCACASTCTCCTCTCCAATCAAGATTTTGCTTTCTCAAGCCTCCTCCTCTCTCAGAGATTTTTCTGGCCCCATTTCTTCTTTTCAGTACCTCTTGGTGTGTATTTGTGTATTTATGCAGATACACATATTTGTCCTTCATGACGGTATCATGACTGTACATATGCCTATGTGCACATAGTGCACATGTGTATACACTTCCATGCCACTTATCTGCTCTCAGAGTTTTCACTTCTATGGCTGTAGGTGAATCACACCTCTATCTCTCTGTCCTTTCTTTTCTCTGTTCTTCAGTCTGAACTCCTGTGGTACATAAAGCCCATTAATGGACTGGATGCATTTGCTTGAAATCTGAGGCACACAGTGAAAGGTTAATGGACCTTATTCTCTTCTAAGGGATAAAGATATTAAATAGTAACTGTGGAATGGCACGCTGGCTTCAATCTATTTTAGGTTCTTATATGGCTCCCATTGCAATCATACCTGAGAACTTCACAAACTTTTTATTATATTTCTCTCCCTGACGCTCTCGTGAGGAGTGGCAGTGCTATTATCCCAATTTCACAGATGGGGGACTAAGGAGCAGAGAGACTTACAGTCATCATTTCAGACTGCTTACTCTAAGTGCCTACATTAGATATTGCAGTGCCAAAGCARGAGGTTTTGCGCCCAGCAAGGTGATTCCAAGTGCCTCCATATTCCCTCAGGATGCTCATATGGTCATGCAGGGAGAGGCAGAACCTCCATATCAGAAGCTGTAGGGTCCACTACGCAGGAAAGCTGAGTGTGAAGGGTAGTTCAATCACCTTGCACCAATGCAGTTATTTAAACAAATTTCTAAGTGACTTTCATGGAGGAAACTTGTGGCAACCCAGGGAAMGCGCTTGCATTTCTTGTTTCTGAGAGTCTACTATAAAAACATTTCTCTTTGGGCTAAGTCAGAATTTCCTGTGCATATTAAGTGATTTTTCCATTCTGTTTAAAGCAACACACTAAAATGCACCATTTATACCTCTCCGCCATATTTTCTGATTTAAGACTCACTTTAACATGCAACTGAATAAACGGCGGAAATTCGCACTAATAAACTTAGGCAGAGCGTAAAGCTCTGCACTAGCGACTAGATTAAGAGCCTGCTCTTGCTTCCCTGGCCATTTTACACTCTGCACATCCGAGAAAGGAGAGATGAAGAAACAGGGCCTCTGAGCTTCCCTTCTTTTCTCCAGCTCCTGTGACAGCAGAATGCGTGTCCAACAGCACAAGGCTGCCCCTGCAGCTACRCTTCCTTGCAAGGCAGTCATATTAATGCAAGCTGCCAAGTTAATGCAGCCTTCTACCCTACATATTGCACCTACCAGCACAGAAATTTAATGTTTTTAAGGCTGCACTAGCTCATTCATAGCACCGGGCAAACACAGCCCTGGAGAAAGCTGACAGACTGYTAAGTGGAGCTCTGGGGAGCACTGGTTACTTCATTGCACCCTTTTCTTTGGGACAACAAGGATCTCTTTAATGCTCCTTATAACCACAGATTCTCCTTTTTCAATAGGGTCTGCTGGCTACAGTTTTAGATACGTCAAAGCCAGGGCTAAGAACGTTTGCTGCAATAGCCCTTAGTGTGGCAGTTGTTCCTCTAGGGTTACTCAGATTTCCCGTGAGCTTCTGATCGTGTTAGGAAGGGTCTGCCATGAAACTTGGGTTCTTTTGTCCTGGCAGCCAAAGGTCTTACAAAGAAGTGCAAATTTGTCAGCCTCAAGAGCAAATTTGGCAATATAAATGCAGGGCCTAACCAGTTAGGCAAACTGAGGAGAAGAYAGGTATGGAAATATCTCGTGCAGCCTCCACTAATTAAAGTGAAGGAATAAATAGAAAGTTTTATTTATCTAGGTCCTTATCTCAGTAAGTCATTATTGGTTAAGTCATAGTTTATTGGGCTATGAACATTTGATTATATAAACATTTCTTAATTTAACAAGCCTAGCCATCCTTATAATAGATTTTATAATTACCCCAGCAATACTGCACTGATGAAGAAACTGCATTGCAAAAATAATTTGGAACAACATAACTGGAAAGAAAATGTTCTCACCATTGCATCTGCTTTATGCTTCTTCCGTTTAGCTTCCTGCATAAAGTAATCTGCATTGTGTGGCCTACCAGGAGAAAATAAGAAGACATTTTATTATTTTCTGAAGTGCAGAATATTTTCAAGTTATTTTTCCCCTATTTTAAATCTGATTTGCAAACATTTTAATGAAGAAAATGCATTTGTCATGTAACCATGCATCTTATATTTCCAAAGTACTGCCTGTGGAGACAATAGCATTTATGGCTGTTCTCATTTTTTAGAATTCAGTGTTTCAAAGGTGGGAGGAGGAGAAAAAGCTAATAAAATGAATTTTATGGATTATATAAACTGTTTCCCAAATTAGTGCAGTTTTCAGCTGCAAAATGTATGCAACACTAAGTGGAATAAGTTATTTGATCTTCTCTCCCTTGTGCTTGCTTACCTTCTTTTCTACTCCTCTCTGCATGCTGTCATTTGCCTTGGCTTCTCCCTCCTCACAGAACAAGTGTGTGCTTAATCTTTGCCCTTGGAAAACACACAGTGAATTTGCCTGCATCCACAGCTACCATCTCATCCCTCTGCTCCCTCTCATCTGTAAGCGAACTGAGAACGTTGTTTACTTTGGCTGCCGAGTTCATGGCTGATGCCGCGCGAGGCCAATCTGCTGCCTTCCCCAGAAATGGATCCTGCCAAATTCTCTATTGATTCCTCCTCAGATTGATCTCGGAGGCTCCACTTCTTTGTCAGCCTGCTTGACCTACTGACTGCAACCTACTGACAACSTACGACTGTTGTCCTTATAATGAARCTCATGGGTCCACTTCTGATMYGGCCWTGTCCACTTCCACCCAGGCTGAAATCTCAAACTGCCTGGTGTATCCTTGGCTATGTTTGGTCATCACCTCAGTGAGCTCCTCATGGCTGGAGCAGATCTCTCTGTTCTCTCTCGCCAGCCCTCCCTATTGCTTCTTCCTTCACTTTGCTGTGGRGAACACAGCCGTTTGCCATGTCACTTCAGGCTCATACCTTGCATCTTCAATTCAAGCTCTCATGAAAGCTCTCACATCTGCTGTGAGAACCTTTTGGGTTCTCCTGGCTTAATATCTGGGGGAAACAGCCACCTTCCCTCTCCACGCAGCCAAAACTTGTCATTGTTCTCCTCATCTCATACTTTGGTTACTACAGTATCCTGCACTCTCTCCTTGGCAAAGGARGTCTTGCCTTGCAAGGCAGTCATATGTCATCTCTTTGCTTTTATCTAATAAAATGAGATATTATTGAGTTTTTTTTTTTTTTTAAGTGCTTGCTTTTGCAAGATATGTTATGATTGCCACTTAGCGATACTTTTTTTTTTGAAATTGAGATTTTGTTTCTTTAAAAAGAACTTTCATGTGAGTTAGAGAAGATACTGTTCTAAAAACAGAAGTCAGCACCATGGATGAGTCAAAAATTCTTGCTGAGATCAGTGCAAACATGGTGGAGCCTCTTGACAGAAAAGGGCAGACACAGATGCTTTTTTGAGACAACTGCTGTTTGGCAATGCACTTGCTTAGTCCATTTACTCCTACTCATGTGCACATAATTTCAAGGAGACTTAACTGTATCCAAGAAGGTTAATCATTATGACGTTTTGAAGAAAAGGAAGACTAAATATCACTACACAGAAAGAAAAACATTGAAGTCTGGGGATTTTGAATGACCCAAGACCTAAAATGCTTGATGTTAAGAAATAAAACTTTCTTCAAAATGATGTTCTCCCTCAGAGTGGAATTTCTCCCTCACTTTCTCCAGCCAGTCACCAGTAATTCGGAAAGAAGACTAAAGACAGKTTTGTGTCCCAGTACCACTTAGCTGACAGCAGCTGCAAATACACCCTGTGCCACTGAGATGCTAACATTACCTTAACAGGTACCAACCATCTGGATCTGTACTGGGTGTGTTACCCAATATTAGACATTGAAGCCATGTTGCCTGGATATACAGAAAGAATTCTTTTCTTTCAGCCCAATAAAATCCCATCTTTTTTAGTCTTACACAGTGAACTAGGGAACTTTGGCTTAAAGGAGGTGCCAAGAAGTGCAGCCACACAGAGCAAAAGAGCAGTCACAGCTCTGGGCAATGTCCAACGTCAAGGACCTTCGTGTGTGCCTCTCAAACTCATGTCATTAAAATATGTCCCTTGCAACATCCCCCCACATGTCACCCATCACTAAGTATAATTTGCTTGTCAGAAGCATGATAAGAACCTGTAAAAACAAGGGAGATAGCACAATGTAATTATGGTCTACTTGTTTAACTGTAAAACATCTTCTAGGTTGTAGCAGGATTTATTTGGCAGCATTGTGATTAGCAATGGAAGCACTAGCAAGAGGCACACGCATTACTGAAGCAAGAAGCCAATGTAAGTGCTTAGATATTTTGATAGGAAAAGCACAAGATTGATTTACAAAWCAGGAGATGCCTGATGGAAATTAAGCTTCATTAGCAAAAATGGGTTGGCTACACTTTATTCTAAATGCCTTAAATAGTGCTAGTTTAACAAGGTTAATAAATGTGTCAAGTCAAATTCTGATCTCTGCACCGCCTATGCAGTACTTAGCAAATTGAAGCCAGTGATTCAGTTTACTCAAATGTGAGATGAACTGGATCTGTATGCTCACTGCTTATCACAGATCTTAAGCTTTTTTAAAATTAGTTCTGGTTTTAGAATTAGTAAAAAAAAAAATAGCTATTTACTATTTTGGTATAAGCAGATTAAAATTTTATATATTTAATCTATGCAATTCATACTCTTCATAATTTTGAAATCCAGATGATTCATGTTAGATAACTTTTGATTAGTAATAGAAAACTAATGTGTATGTATTTGGTTACAAACGTTTATGTTTCATTTCTTGTATCATTTTATAACAAAATGTAACAGATGCGTTTAGATTTAATTATTATCTGATTTTCAGACCAATATTTTAAAGATTTTAAATTCACTCCTTTGTTTATGTTCCTTCTGCACCTGAGTGTCACTTGTCTTGTTAAATCCAGTAAACTGATTTAAATTATTATGATATGAAGTAAAAAAMCAGAAGACTCTGTAGACTCTACGCAGGTAAAGTATTACCTTAGCTCATAAGAGTATGAAGAAACATGAGAAAGCTCCTGAGTAAGTTAATGATTCASGATCTCTGTTTTATGTAGTTCACATTATTAATCTATGAAGTTCAGCACAGATTCTATTAATCATTTTCTGTTTTTACAAACCCTTAAGACGCTGCCACTGAAAACCCATCCCAAGATCTGTTAAATGCTCCRAAGTTTATCCAAATTTCCTCTGCAATCTGGCCTTCTGAATGAAAGTGGCAGTAATCTCAGGCTGGAGAATTTGTAGGTAATCTCACTGCATGGTAAATTCAGATACGTTTTCACTCCCCTAGAATTATTTTTCTCTGTTAAATGAGTTTTGTGTAATACAAACTGAGCTGAATGTTCCTTCTTGGATGTTGCTGCTGCGAGGCATCTTGAGGAGAAGCAAATCACTGTTTTCTCACTGAAGAGAGTTAGAAAGAACAGATCACAGCCTTGCTGCAGCCTGAGAAGCCAGGAAATGGGGAGAATTTCTACGGGGTTAAAATGGCACCAGACTACGGATCGAGCTGCAGTGGATGTCAGTGGCAGAAGCAGCACTGGAATTTCTTTGTTAGTCCAAAATAGTTGGTGGTCATGAAGTCCCATGGGAAGCYATTCCCTCATTTCTGGCTTTCAGACAGCTGAGTCAGACTCCCCTCTTATTTATTTACCACTGTTGTACCTAGGGGTGTCAACACTGTCGTTCTAGATTTACAGACAGGATTCAGATTGCTTGTTCTTTTCTAATTCTTTAAAAGAAGCCTGACTTCAAATTAGCAGGTACAATCAAGTGTTTTGCCTCTATTAATAATGTTGGCTGCCCAAGAAACCCTTTTGTTTCTGAATATCTGAATGTTGGTGCTTTTAGACATACAGTCCTCTCGAACAAAGCCAAAAGGCASTCTAATACACTGCTTTAATACATCTCATATATCTCTCTGAAAGGTGAGAGAAAGAGCGTGGAGCGTCCGTGCCAACTAAGCCAGGCGGCTGCTGAATTCTCCCTAGGAATTCTCCCTAGGATCAAGTGTCATTATGTGAAACTGGCTGCTCCGGAGGAGGATTTACCCGGCTATGCTGACTAGGGAGAGCAATCGAGTATTGCTGGAACCAGTTCAGCGCATTCTCCGTCACCAGCAGCCAGTCACCTAGGCACTGCAACAGAATCCAGCCTCTTAGCGAGTAACCCCCCCACGGCACAAACAAGGCCGGGCTTCCTTTTCAGCAGAGGAATTCAAGCCCTTTATGGCTTTCACGAGGGCGGTCTCGGGAGCGCGGCTCCGACWGGCTCTGCCAGGAGATTTCCCAAACAACCTGCTACTGTCCCACACTGCTCTCCCCTCGCGTCGCCACCGCTGGCTCGGGGAGCCGGTCAAAAACCAGCGGGAAATGCAGCCCTGCCGGCRCTCGCTATTTGGTGCAGGAGCCCAGCGTGGGGTGCGGTGCTGGCGGGCATGGGAATTCCTCCCCTCCGCTCCCAATTTCTGGCTCTCGAGCTCCCGAGAGCGGTGTTGCTATTACCCACGTGAAAGGCTTGTGTGTACGTGGCCCCTCTCGCTTCGACGCCTATGCAGCTACGTGCCGTCACGGTGCGTCCCCGCCACCTTTGTCTTTCTGCCACCTTCTCTGAGTTTAATTTACTGTGGCTTAGCAGATAATTGCAAAAATGTACACTCGCGCAGTAAAAAAAAAGAGAGAAGAGAATCAAACAAAGTGAATCAATAAACCCCTTACACCGTCTAGTAATTTATCAGCATCTATTGCAACRTTATCTTGGAACTCAGCACTACCACTTTTATTTACAGAGCACAGGGTAGCTTTGATTCCAATATACAATTTTAATTATAACTGCATTCAAAAACACATTTTTCACCTAATTTTTATATTTTATATGAACTATGTACTAAACTAAAGTGTTTTCTGCTTCATTTACATAATCTACCACTTGTACATTATTTCTTACTC